CCCCCCTCCTCCTTATCTAACTTAAATAATGAGATAAGCTCCTACACTCCTGAGCTTTGGCAAATTAGTTTAAATATTTCAAGTTCTGCCAACTCCCACCTCTCCCTGCCTTTCTGGGTCTTTGACTAAAAAGCTGAAGAAATATTTTGGAAGAAACCTCAGGGCTCTGTTTCATAAATCTTCATCTGATACTTTCCTAGAATGTCACGTCCCCTGAAGTCCACAGGCGCTGGCGTGCAGAGCAGCACACAAGCACAGCGCCAGCCGGGGCCACGCAGGCCTCTCTTCTCCAAGGCCTTCCTATCTTTTCTCGAAAACGATTGCTACGGCTCTCTGCAGTTTTCTGCTGAAGTTTCTCTCCAAATGGCACCACGAGGACTGCTCCCCTCCCACAGCACCGGACACACACATGGCCGGGACCCCTGCCGTATGGCCTGAGCCGGCTGAAGGGCAGCAGGCTTTTCTCCATGGCTTCAGTGGCATCCCGAGTATGACCACAGCTGTGCCCTTTTCACAAACTGAACTTGGGAACAGACACATGTGGCCCAATACACGTAGACTGGAAGATGCAGCCTGAGCCAGCAGAGCGTTGCCTTGGAAAAAGCTTCTCATTTCAGTTCCAAACCACACATACTTGTACAGTTAACAAATGCAGCAGGGGATACTGGTCCATAGCATTCATGTGGAGGCCAAGGGCTCTGCTGTCCTCCGCCCTCTTCGTCCCCTCCCCCACCTGCCTTCCCACCAACCATTAGGTGGCATGGACACTTCAGGGGAGAATTAGGTGGCTGTCTTGTTGGAATGCCCATCCGCTCCAATGAGGAGAGGAACTTGGAAGGGTTTTAATCTAAAAGAACATAAGGAGGAGGGTTCCCTATAAATAAAATCATGTTCAAATAAACACAAAAAGGAGCCAGTGTTTCCTGTAAGGCTCCTTCTCAGATGGATTACTGGAAGGAGTATTCTTTCACAGTTTTATGGCTCACTTTGCTATCATCTGCTTAAAATTTGGGTCATTTAAAACATAGATGCTAAGATCTAAGCCTTCACTTGGATGAAATATTACAAAGGAAGCAGAGAGCCTCTTCCAAGTGCAGACTCAGGCAGCACTCTTGGGCTCTTGGGCCCTATTCCTGGCGCAGGCCCTGGGCTCAGGTCAGTCCCCGGTCAGAGTCTCACTTCTAATCCCTTCAAATCATTTGTTAGTCCCTGTTGTCTAAACAGTGGGGAAAAACCCTGAGTAACACCCCTGGATCCTGTTCAATCAACCGGGATGGCTGGAGATAGTTATAACTCACTTCCAAGAAGCCGGGGTGATTTCTCCCTTGGGTAGAACCAGCGTCCTCCTCAGAGATCACAGTGTCATCAAAGCAGCCCTGGGGGCCCTGAAGGACTTCTCCACCTGCAAGGGTGTCTGCTCCTCTACGACTGGAAAACAATACCGCCTAGCAGGCTTATAGTTCTTTATAGTTCCTACATTAAAATCACTCTGGTTGGGCTCAAACCGCTAAGAGGTACCCCCAACCAAAATAAAGACAGATGAACTTATCCCATATTTATAGATGAAAAACTGAGGTTTAGACAATACAAGATTTGACCAAGGATCCAAAGTTAGTAAGAAGCATTTTCCAGGTCAGGTACTCTTTCTTCAGTCACACATGGCTGATCACCAATAAGATTGCTTTATAGCTAGACAAATGGACTGAGGAAAACTGGTGAAAAGACTACCACCTCCCCCTTTGGAAGAATCTGGAATGTTTTTTCTGGGCAGTAAAGGGAGCTGTGACCCTCCGAGGTCCTCAATTAGCATGGATTTCCCATGTGCCTCACTTCTCCATGACTCTCCTATCCTGGTACTTTCAGCAACAGAGACACCACACCAAAGCTTAATGTCCCCTCCTTTGAGTCCCTTTGTCTACAGGCCCCTGACTACCTGCTGTTCCTCACCTATCACTGTAGATACTGCATCTTGTTAGCCTGACAGCTGCTCCTGGAAATTTGCTGTTAAAATTCAACTTGATTGCCCAACTGCTATTTGCTTTTAGGCAAACTACAGAGCTTTTCTGCTTCGTCTACATGGCAATGTAAGGCTTAAGTGGGCTGTGATGAAGAATGGCTGGTGGTTCCACAGAGCCTCCAATGCATATGGCTGGAAAAGAAGCACTCTAGGGGGAACAGCCTCTGCTGAGAAGTGCAATGCTGGCCAAGCAGCTAAATGCCAGGGGCTAGCATGATGAGAAAGTGGTAACAACAAGAGTAAATCTTGTGGTCGGCAGGGAAGCAACTGTGTAGTACGCCATACACTGACACTAACTGGATTTGACATGAAGGTCAGGCCCAAGCAGGGCAGTGCAGGGACGCCAGGTTCAGAGTGAGGAGGTGGGCTGGATCTGAGTCTGGCTCCACTGTTTCTGGTCATCTGTATAACTATGGGTGAGTCATGCAATTTCTTTCTTCTCTATCTATTTGAAAGGCAGAGAGAAAGAGAGAGAGAGACAAAGAGAACATATTCTATATATTGGGTCATTTTCCAAATACCTCTTACAGTTAGGGCTAGAGCAGGCTGAAGCTGGGAGCCTAGAACTCAGTCTGGGTCTCCCCAATGAATAAAAGGACCCAAGCCCTTGAGCCATCACCGGCTGCCTCCCCAGGTGTGCATCAGAAACTGGAACCAGAAGTGGAGCCAGGAATCAAGCCCATGCATTCTGATTTGGGAAACGGACAACCCAACTGACATCTTAAGCACTGCACTAAAAGCCCCACTCTGAGTCATGTGATTTATCTGAACTCTTCTGCCCTTACCTGCAAATATACAAAAGAAGGGTCAAGGAGATTGCATACGTGGAGGCATTGAGACAAAGCCTGACTCTTTGCAAGGAGTTCCTCTTACAGTTCCTTTTAACCTTAAATGGGCTGCTCTTATCTCAACATATGGCCAACTCTTCCATAAATGTCAAGTTTCATCTGAACTCTCACTTTTCTGGAAAAGCCTGTCTTGACCCCCCTGTTAGCCCTCTTCCATGTCTTTATCTTCTCTAACCACACCATTTCATAGCACCCCACAAATATCTTCTTTGTCAGTTGCCACCATGTTAGTAATAATCATTTGCCACATTGCTTTATGTTTATTGCTCTCTGAAGACAGGGATAATCTGTTATATTCCCAATCCTGAGTCCATATGAAATTTTAGTCAAGACTTATTGCCTGGAAATGAATGAATGACAAATACGGACTTCAAAATATGACATCAAACCTTCTATGACAATACTGGTCAACTGGTAAAGATAATGACACCTTCCCCTCCACAGCAACCATGGCTACCTTATATGAGTTGTTAAAAGGAATACAAAATACGTCATCAAGACTTCCAAACACAATACACAACATTCAAGTGATTTTTCATTAATATATTAAACTAAAAGCACAAAATAATCTTAATCTTTATTGCATACATCTTACCCCCTTTTGTAATAAATCAATTGATCCCTTGACCATCTGGGGATTTTTAAGAAGCAAGGTCTCGAGGGAATTCTTTGGCATCTCTGCAAGCTCGTGCTTTGCTGGGTCTTACTCTCTTAACACAACACTGGAGGTGAACTTCTGGCACTTAGATCAGAAATAGAAAACCAATCGAAATGCCTATGAAGCCTCCCTACTGCCTGCCCCTCCTCACAGCTTCACAATATACTCACGGGTAGCTGAGACCAGAATGTAACCCAAGCACACTCTACAGGTCCTTATTTTAATAATGAGTAGGAGCCTCCAGATGGAAGGCATTCTGGTAGAACACTGTACATGATCCCAGTCCACAAATGTAACCATTTCCTCTACTATAATAATATGTCATCAGTAAGGTGTCAGGGTGACACCATCTTATCTGGGGACAGTTTACTTCAACTCTTATCTGAGGAAAAGACAGGGCATGCCCATGGCTCAGCCCTGGCTATACTCAGGCAGCAGGGGAGGCCTTCTGAGTTTAGGCAGAATCCAGCCAGGCTGAGAACTGTAATATTCACTGCACCTTTCACTGACAGGGACCCTCATTAAGTCGCTCTGGAAGAGGGAGCTTAAATAAGCCACTGAAGTGAACAGCTAAGTTGACGTAGCTGGATTTCCTGAGACTGGAGCCCATGGCTTGTCTCTGATGTTCCATCTCATGGGCCTCAAAGGGAGGCACCACTGTAGCTGAAGTGCAGACTGCTGCGGTGTAAGATCTTTCTTGCTTTGAGGTTGGTACATTTGCTGGTACTTTCAAGTGAAGGAAAAACTAAGTGGGCAGATCCATGGAGTGAATCACAACTGTAGAGGAGCAAGACCCAGCCTACAGTCGACTGATTGCTTTACAGGCATTCAGGGTCCAATGGGTGACGAAGGAAAGCTGGTAAGGCTGCAAATTTTATTTCTGACCTCTTCAGCAAAGAGAAGCAACAGAGCACAACATTTCTCTACAAATTAACCAACAACTCTGAAAAAACGATGGATTCTTTTGCTTTGTTTTTCTGTATTTGTATTAAGTAGGTCAGAAATTTAAGTTACAAGTGTTCAGATTAAAAGTCATATACCGGGCCCGGCGCGGTGGCGCAAGTGGTTAAAGGTCCTCGCCTTGCACGCCTGGGATCCCATATGGGCGCCGGTTCTAATCCCGGCAGCCCCGCTTCCCTTCCAGCTCCCTGCCTGTGGCCTGGGAAAGCAGTCGAGGACGGCCCAAAGCTTCGGGAACCTGCACCCGCGTGGGAGACCCGGAAGAGGCTCCTGGCTTCGGATCGGCATAGTATCGGCCTGTTGCGCTCACTTGGGGAGTGAATCATCGGACGGAAGATCTTCCTCTCTGTCTCTCCTCTCTCTGTATATCCGCCTTTCCAATGAAAAAATAATAAAAATAAATCTTTAAAAAAAAAAAGTCATATACCCAAAGCATAAAGTGCATGGGTTAGAAGCAGCAGACTTGGCTGGAAATTGCAAAAGCTTGGCTCCCCCCTCCACCCCCATGTCCACTGACCTGGGGCCATTCAGCGTGGCTGTGTCTCTCACCGCCTGCGCTGTTTCTGATGCAAAGTCCAGGGCGCCTGCCACTGGTTTGGTCACAGTGCCAACGAGCCCTTTTCCAAAGCCAGATATGAAGCCGCTCACACCCCCTTCTGTTTTCACACCTTCCACTGTTGAGGTTATAACACTGGTCAATCCACCAATGATACCTGGTGAAAAACAAACACACAAAAACAAAACAAGGGGTGTTATAACTCGGCCAAGCTCATTAGGTTCAGAGTTAGAGGATGTGTGTGTGTGTGCGTGTGTAGATCTATTCCAATCAGAAGTAAAGTGTGTTCCAGTTTTCAAAATACCAAAGAAACTGTGAGGGAGGTTAACAGAGTTTTTTCAACTTCAGAGCTTGGCAGCATATGGGCAATCAGGAAAAGAGGCAGACATTGGGATTAAATCAACAGCAGACTGGCAAATAGGGCCCTTTGGAAAGTCTAAAGAGGCTAGCATCCTATGAGCCATAAGACAGAGAGGTAACTATGTACTCACAATTTTCAAAGACCTGTGACTGGTCAAACACACCAAGTGCCTGAAATAGGGTAGAAGCTATTGCATACTTGGCTTAAACAGAGATGAGAAATTATGTAAATGTGGAAGCCTTCATGAAGAGCACTCCCAAAAGCTGCCAGTGCTAACCAGGACCCTTCACGGAGTCAGTTCAAAAGACCAACTTGGTCAAAAACACATCCAAAACATTTTGAAAGTTGACAACAGCTGAAACTTGCCTAAGTGGCCAGAAGCCGGCGAAGGCAAGTGAAGTCACAGGCCTTCAGGAAGGAATCAGGCCCTGTCCGGGGAGCATTTCCAGGACTTGTGCCAGGGACACTCACAGGATGTTCACCCTCTGACAGTGGGGGTGAGAGGAAGCTCTCTAGACTCTTCAGCTCTAGTGAGACAAATTGATAAAGGAAGCTCCTTGGGTGAGAACGCACTAACAATTCACTGCATTTCTTTTGGATTCTGGGTCGATTTGCTCCAGCGAGGCAAAGTTCCTTTCCCAATCTGAATAGTACAGGAGTTCAGACTGGGACCTTAGAGATGGAATACTACTGAACCTGGGTTAAACAGGAGCTCCCCCTTGCATCCCTAAGAGAATGAAGGAATCATAACTCCCAGTTTTTAAATCAAGGAGGTTGAATAGATTATAGTTCTTGTTATCTTTTAAACACCTTTGCACCTTGAAGGAAAAAGCTCACTCTAGGCTACTACTTTGCTATAATCCAAGGCTCAATGGATTCTCTGGAGGAGACCGCCATGCCCCGTCTTTGACTGGCCTGACTGGCTCTTGGGGGGCTGCACAGACTATCTGGGTGATCATTCACTGGAGGTGATTTTGTCACCTTGAAAAAAATCACCCATTTTCTTAAGACACTCGAGTGCTGAACTAAAGAGTAAGAACAACTATACTCTTTGCATTTGAAGGATCTGGTACAGGAAGTTCAATTTCCTAACACAGCTAAGCGTGAGCTAAACGCCAGGTGTCATGAGTAAAAGATGAATAAAAAATGCCCTTTTTGTTCTCATGGCACTCACAATCTCTCAGGTATGGCACAGAAATGTCCCACATGCTCTGTCATTAATTCTTACTGGAGGGGCTAGTGTTATGATGCAACAGATTAAGCCACCAGCTGTGACGCCAGCATCCCCTATGAGTGCTAGTTGAATTCCCAGATGCTCCAGCTTCAATTAAGCTCCTTGCTAACGTGCCCGGGAAAGGCAGTGAAAGATGGCTCAATTGCCTGGGATCCTGCCACCAACTGCAAGAGACCTGGATGAAATTACAGGGACCTGGCTTCGGCCTGGCCCAGCTTTGGCTACTGCGGCCATTTGGGGAGTAAATCAGCAGATGGAAGATCCCACCAACTCTGCCTTTCAAACAGATAAAAATATATCTTTTTATTTATTTATTCATTTTTATTGGAAAGTCAAATATACAGCGAGGAGGAGAGACAAAGAGGAAGATCTTCCATCCGATGATTCACTCCCCAAGTGGCTACTATGGCCAGAGCTAAGACAATCTGAAGCCAGAAGTTTCTTCCGGGTCTCCCATGAGGGTGCAGAGAGTCCCAAGGCTTTGGGCCGTCCTTGACTGCTTTCCCAGGCCACATGCAGGGAGCTGGATGGGAAGTGGAGCAGCCAGGACACAAACTGGAGCCCATATGGGATTCTGGCGCGTGCAAGGAGAGGACTTTAGCTGCTAGGCCACTGTGCCAGTCCCTAAAATAAATCTTAAAAAGAAAATTCTAACTGAGACAGTAGAGCCAGGGAAACGTCATCTGAGTCGGAATTTGATAGGAAAGGAAGTGAGGTAGATGAGAAGACAGAAGAACCCAAACTGACGAGGGCTTGCAGACATGACTTGGGGGAGAGGATACAGCTCGGTGTGACTAGATGATAGTGGTTGTGAAAACTGGGAAAGCTTCTATCTCCAAGGGCCTTGGACACCTCATAGAAAAGTTCCTGAGAAAAACGCAACAAAAGGCAAATGAGTCAGAATTAAAGCATCCCAATTTGGAATTCAAACTTGCAGAGACTGAAACACATTTATGCCATCTCTCCATCTCTTGGGCTTTTAATCTGGTGAAAGTACATTTATGCAAGAGTCAAAAACATCTGGGCTACAGAAAACCTAGAAGTAAACTCCGCATTTCAGTTGCCTTGGGAGGAAAGAGCAGGAGGCAGAAGGCAGTCTTAAACTCTGGACCTCAGACAGGGTTCTGGTGATTTCTGCTTATGATCCTTCAGGAGCAGAGGGAGGGAGTGTGACACGCACAGCACTCTGAAAATGAACAGTGAGCTCCCCCAAGCTGACACATGGCAAATGCAAAACGGACATAATTGCAGCTCAGAAGACTATCAGGTACGCCAGAATATCACACTTAGAATACCACTGTGGTCAGATTTTCTTCTTGCTACTCACGTTCAGACAGGTGCAAACAGCCTACCAGGAATGTGGCAGAAGAGCCTATTATGCTTACCGTGAGCCAGGCCATGGATGCCAGCTACAAGATGCTCCCCGCTGGTCGCTGCGTGGTACCTGATGTACTCCCGCTCCGACTGGTGCCGATTATCCATGGTCTTCCCTAAGCCATCTGATAATGTCCCTGCAAACTGGAGTGAATTAAAAATGCAAGTTTTAAAACACAGCACAATTTTTGCTCTTTTAAACAAATACCTTCCCATGTTAGCTAAGATTTAATAGATATCACTTAATCAGAGAGATTAATTTTGAATTACATATTGTCTGTCCCAGAAAAGAGGTGCTCAACCACTAACACATTCAATCCGTGAGTGGGATGTTTACCATGGAGGTCATGGGGCTTACAAGACAACCACTGAAACTCCTTAATGACAATAAAATTTGATCATCCCAAATCTGTAGCGCTCCAAAACCTGGAACTTTCTGAGTAGCAATAAGACTCCACAAGTGGAAAATTCCACACTAGACTCTGTGTGACAGACTGTGGTCAAAACAGGGCTGGACCTTAAGTTCTGCATAAAATCACCTTCAGGTTACACATACCAGGTATATCTGAAGCATAAATAAATTTCGTGTTTTGGGCCTGGCGCGGTGGCTTAGCAGCTAAAGTCCTCGCCTTGCACGCGCCAGAATCCTATGGGACGCTGGTTCTAATCCCAACAGCCCACTTCCCATCCAGCCCCCTGCATGTGGCCTGAGAAAGCAGTTGAGGATGGCCCAAAGCCTTGGGACCTGCACCAGCGTGGGAGACCTGAGTCTCCTGGCTCCTGGTTTCTAACTGTCTTAGCTCCAGCCATTGCAGTGGCTTGGGGAGTGAACCATTGTATGGAAGACCTTCCTCTCTGTTTCTCCTACTCTCTGTATATCTGGCTTTCCAATAATAATACACAAATCTTTAAAAATAAATAAATAAATTTTGTGTTTAGACTGGAGTCCTTTGCCTGAGATACCACACTGTGCATATGCAAATACTCCAAAATCCAAAATCTGAAACACTCCCAGCAAGGGACACTTCATCTGTACTTCTACAAGTTTACTGAAAAGCCAAAGGTATAGATGAAATGGCTTTAGGGTGGGGAGATTCTGGAGTCCATGATGATAAGGTCACAGGTCCTTTAAGAACAGAGGGATTCAAAACAGGAAAAGTGTCAGAGTACCGGTTTATGGTTTAACATCAAAATGCCTGGAGACATTAACCATTAACCTCTCTCAAATAATGCCCGTATTTCTTTTATTCAACAATTACCTGCCTATTAGATGCCAATGCCCATTTGTCAAAACACAAAGATGAAGTGAATGGAAAGAAGAACAGGTTAGGTCACCTTTCATAGCAAGTGGCAGACTTGAATTCAAGACTTCAAGTGCAAACCCATCTTTTCCCCACAAATCAGATTTTATTTATCCTGGCACACTTCAACCAGAGAAGCTGTCTGATTCATCAGAGCTGGATAAAAAGGATCTAAAACTCTGTTTTGTCACAACACAACTTGAAAAGTTTTAAGGTGACAGTTAATAAACCACAAGGTACTTATCCCCATCATTCAGGCATAAAAAGGGAAGGATATCAAATACATAATTAACCTTCACAGGAAGGATCTACCAGAACAAGTGGTTTCAATGCCAATGACCCAGGAATAACCCTTCAGAAGACTTACAGGAATGTTATTTAGATATAAAACCCAATGGGAAGGCTCAAGGAGAACAGCCTTCCTGGAAGACCTAGCACACAGAGTAGCAGCCTGGAGGAGGGCAGTCCTGTTTCTGACCTGGCAAGGAGAGCGGTGTGTATCATACCGATCACATCTGCCCAGGGACCTATCAGTCCTGAGGCTTCTCAACACAAGTAACAGGTGATTTCTGGGCGTGGACGGAAAACCAGAGGAAGAAGCAGCAGCCCCACTTCCTGGTGCAACAAGCCACAGAAACACTCACTCCCTTTTCCGCACGCCAAACGCTTTCATCATCAAGGCAGTGATTCCCTGATCTTTTTGGAGATACAACCTCTGTTGTTATTTGCTTGCTTTTTGCCTTATCTTCCCCATCACTGGCTATTCAGTTAAAGTTAATGAAAATTAATTTGGCCATTTCTTTTAGGAGAACTGGAACACCAGGTTATGTCACAAAGCTACCACTGTGGGCCCTCCATGCTCTCCTTAAGAGCCGTGTTCTAGGACAGTAACCAACCCAGATTCTAGTCCTCTCCGCAACCATTCGAGCAACTCCTTGACCCCAAGCAAGACATCTGCCTCCGAGCCTCCTGCTGCATCTGTGGAATGATGACAGTACCTACTTTATTGCATGGCTGGAGGAACCAGTGACAATGCTTCAGGTTGGCATCTAGTTCGCATTTTTATTGCTGTCATCACTAAAAAAGTTTACAGGTAATGGTTGCTTATATTAGGGTTTAATATCTGAAAACAAAATAATCCCTCTCTTCCAGCAAATAGACTTTGGGTTCCAAGGCGTTGCATGCTCTGTGACCCCAGGCTGAGGGTCTTCACAGAGCACTGATTCTAGGTCCAGCTGAGGATGCCAACAAGTAACAGCCTTGGACTCTCTTCGATATGAGCTGAAAGCCTCACTGGGAAGGTGACCCCAGCAGAAAGGATGCAGAGAGGAGCCTGAATGTGGGCAAGCATGAAAGAGACCCTGCTACAGCCTAGGACTGAGGAGGGGGCCAGCTTTCCTCAGTCAGGCTCAGGAGAGATGTCATGCCCTGATGCCTCACACTGGCAGATCAAGGGTCCGTTTCCTGCTCCTGCATTATAGAGCCAGCTGGGTGACAGGTGCAGTGGTCTGAAGATCTGGGTACAGAGGCTACCACGGCATGTGGCCTCCTTTCATCCTTCATTCCACTTCTCATTCCCTCCTAGGTGGGATGTTCAGCCACATCCTGTGTCTGCCTTCTCAGACAGCTGAGCCGAGAGCTGCAAAAGGAAGTGGGTGCGGGGCACCTATCATGGTGCCTGCTGGCCTCGAGGGCTGCAGGTGTTTGCATCCATGTTATCACATTTAAGATGACTAACATGACAGGGCAGACACACCCTAAGAGCCACAGCCAACGTATACCACTACCACCCTGCCACCCAATGGCCTGGAAGCAGGAAGCAGTTTGGAAGCAGCTACGCAGGTTGCCCACAGAGAAGAGAATGCATCCCAGAAGCTTTTGGGGAAAGATACAAAACATGAGGACCTGAGCAAGCACAATTCATCTCTGTCTTCAGCCCACCAACCGGAGGAAGAGAATCGCTCCTGCCGCAGCAGGGACAAGCAGCAGCAATTAGAAGTACCTCCTGCCTTCTGCCCCAAGCTCTTGCTCAGGAGACGTGCCTGTAGCCTATCACCAGCAAGTGCACCTGAGAAAGAATTCCAACTGAGACACTTTATAGCTGTGAGACTGTGGGCAAGCAACTTCACCTCTGTGGGTTTCCATTTCCTCATCTTCAATTGGGGATAAAAATGATCCCCTACAAGGATGTTGCAAGGATTATACAATACCTGTAAGAACTTACAACAGAGCCCAACACACAGTAGATATTCAACAAGAACAGTACTGAGTTATCTGAACTTCAGCTTCTTCCAATTTTTAGTATATGTGCTGCTAAAGTGAGCACACTTCAGATTCTTCATATGCAAAATGGGAATGCTCAAATTCTGCAGGTAAAATGGTGCATGCGCAAACATAGCCGGCACAGTGCGGCCCTGCAGAGAGGGAGCCTCCATGGAGAGGTGTGAAAGCACCAGAGCAGGGTGTGGGCCACGCTCTTCCTGGAAAAGCCACTGGAAGGTAATTTGTAGATAATTTGTAACTGTGTTCATTATAAATAATATCTCAGCATCAAAGAAAAATTTGTAGATATTTAAGCTGACCTAACTAATTCTGTAGCAACTGCAAGTCCACAAAATACTCAGATCTTCAAGCAAAGCTTGTCCTAGCTAAGATGAAAAATTTCTAAGGAACAGAATGTCCTTCAGAAAAGCTGCTTGCAAAGCCCACAGCCTCTCCACTTCTTTCCCCAAAGGAAGTTTCAACACAAGCCACACTGCTAAATGTTGGCTGCAATCCAAAGTCATTGCTATCCATGAAGCAAAGGTCTCAGTAAAGGGTAAAAATCTCAGTGGTGCTTAAAGATACCAGTTCTACTGCACCTTCCAAAAATTATCCTATTGTCTACATAAAACGAACAAAAGGATAAATTAGCCTGGGTTTTGGACCTGGCTCTGATCAGTTTAATTCAAACAACCAAAATTTAAGAAGATGTCAGGATGGTGCAAGGGAAAAATTCCCACGGTGTCCCTCTATTCTGTCCTTTCAGTTTTTCTGACTGTGTGTGACATTTACCAAGTGTGGAGGCCCATGGTATTTGGCCAGTGTAACAGGAACCTGGGCTCAAATTTCTCTCCCTTCTCTTAGGTTCTTCTTTCACAGTTATTTACTTAATGGAAATTTCCTCTTTAATATACTGAGTAATGGCTGGCAACAGTATCTTCCTTGTCACCAGGGCAGACGGTGACCACAAGTAACAGGAAGAGAGAAGTGAGGATTATGTAGGGTGAGAAGGAATTGTATATTCTTCTAAGGGCAAGGCTGACGGCTGCAAATTTCAGTTTCTTGAACAGTTCTATCTCCAATCACAATGGGCTGCAAGAAACTGTGCTTAAACATGCAGGTCTTAGCCACTCGACTCCGTCTCGTGCCCGTAAGTAAGGCCACCATGAGCCAAGGGGGGCTGCCATTCTGGCACCAGCTGGGAACGGGCAGAGGTACAGAGCACGTTTCCCTTGTCAACTACTGCATCAGGCATCCTGGTGGAAGCTGCTGAACTTGCCAGAACGTCAGTTTATCATGTGTAAAAGTCAGATTCTTTTCTGCTGCCAATGGTTACTTTGAAGGAGTAGGGAGAGCCTTTATGTAAGATGCTTTCAAAAAATGTCTGGCCATCAACTGTCACACATTTCTTAGCACTTTGTCATACATCTTAGCAGTTTGGAGCCTAACTTTCAAGTCATTGCAATTTATTTTAAACTTTCTTTTGTCTTCAGAGGGATTTTCAACTTTGCCTGTACACTAGGAGGAAAGCCTCCTTCAGGTCATGTAAGACCCAAGTCTCTTGGTTTTTACCACTTCCTC